TTCACTCAACCTGGAGATCTTGAAATTAAATATTTTTGCAGTTAATCTTAGCAAGTTAGCCTATACCTGTAAAACATATATAACAAATATATTTCACAGTGAATTACCATTGAAATGCTTGACAAGTCATTGTGCAAGGAATGCAAATCAATCAGCCTAAATATTTACTGTTTTACTGCATCCTGAATTTATGTATGTACATATTGAAATGAGGTGATTCTTTCAAATATTGTCTATGTCTTTTTAGCTAATGAAGCTATGAAATGTAATTTTCTTTAAGTCATCATTAGGTTTGTCTTTATGGGTTGAGAACACATCATAGACTGTCACAAAACAGGCAGCAATAGGAAGGAAATATCACTCTTCTCTTTCAGGTCTGTTGTTTTGAGCTGGGAAGGCAGGGTGATGAATTTCACATTGCAGTAAACATGTGATTGGAGCGGTCTGTAGTGTGGATTTTTTGAATTTCAGTTCCTGCAGCATGTGAAGATCATAGACTAAAATCATCCCAAAATTTGGGCTAAGAGAGACTTCTGGAGGTCATCTAGTCTTGTCTTCTGCTCAGAGCGGTGCTAAGTAGAGTCAGATTTCCCAGGGCCTTGTCTAGCCATGTTCTGAAAATTGCCAAGGATGGATATTGCACAGTCTCTCCGGGCAACTTATTCCAGTATTTATCTACTCTTATCGTGAAGAATATTTTCCATATGTCCAACTGGCATAGTCCTTACTGCAATTTCTGACTGTTGCCTCTTATCCTTTCACTGTGCGCCTCTGAGACAAGTTTGGCTCTGTAACCTGCTGTTAGACAGTGGAAGACAACAGTTAGCTCCCCACTTTTGCAGGTTAGAAGGACCCGGTTCCTTCAGCCTTTCTTTGAATGTCACACGTTCCAGCCTCCTAATCATCTTACTGTTCGTCCACTGGTCTTTTCCATTTTTAATGTATTCCTTGTTTTGACTGAGGGGCCCAGAACTGCTCTCGGCTTTCCGGATGCAGCCTCATGATGCTGAGTAGAAAGAAAAAAAACACTTCCTTTGCTTGCTGGCTACGCTTGTTATTAACACAGCTCAGTTTGTGGTTAAACTTTATTGCTGCAAGGACGTACTGCTGACTCGTGTTCAACTTCTTGTGCCTCACATCATTATTTTCTGCAGAGTAATGACCTAACCATTCAGTACCCAGCTATTCTAATGCATGAGGTTATTCTCTCCTACATGCATGGATTTATTTGTCTCAAATACAACAGGAATTTTGGTTATTCGCCATTGAGTAGATTTACAGTTAAATAGCTGTATTCTTTAAGAAATAAAGACTTCACTTGCCTTAATTATGAAAACGAATTTACTTTCTGGTGAGGATTTCACATTTATGAGCATTGCAAGTATGTCATAGCAAAGCTTTTTTCATAAAAAGGTAGGAGCTGCTTTTGGCTACGTGGCCAGGCAATAAAAGCACTGTGTATATGGCAAACAGGGAAGATGCAAACCATTTTGTTCATATAGGGCCCTTGGAATGTGTAACGGTATACGGTAAACAGACTTGAAAAGTTAGCAATTCCACACTACATGGATAGAAAGCTACCATGGCTAAAGCATCCCATTTCCCATTTGATGTACACAGCAAATACTTCCAAACAGTTACTACAGGTGTCAAAAATTAATTCACTGTTAGCGCTGGTACAAGAGCTTAATTAATTAATTCGCTGTTGCCTCTGTTATCAGGGAAAGATTATGAATATCAAGTGGACTTTTTTTTAACTAAACATACCCCCAGGTGGTCGTTGTTGTCTGATATTGACTCAGGTCGGATCCAAGCCTGAAAGTCCCAAGAACTGCAGGATCTAAATCTGCCACTTAACCAACAGGGGGAAGCAAGGCAAGGGAGGCTTCCTCTTTCAGCTGTGTTTCCTGGTGGACTCTTATTATATAGCTTTCTAGTGAACATCAACAGAAAGTAGTACTGTTAGGAATTCATACTTACATGATTATTCAGTATTTGAAGAAGGGATTAAGAAAAATCTCATGTATGTAGTAAAAGCTTCTTTAATATTATTTGGTTGCATCCATTTATCCAAGCACTGAACTTGTCATCATTGGAGTGACAGGTTCTCTGCTGTAAATTAATATAATGATATTTATACTTTGAGATATGGGAAGGTTAACTAATAGATGAAAAGAAGTTAAGTTTCCTTTGAATATATGACAACATTTCAGCAGGCTTATTTCAAAACAGAAGAGGGCCAAATTCCATCTTGGTTATGATATTTCTGTATGATAATTTCAAGGTCATAAGACTTTCCATAGGAGGGAGAACTGTTTTCATACAGAATATTAGTCCTGAAAGAAATAAGCATTCTATTTACTCACATAGAGAGGGTTTCATGTCTTCCAGCAAATTTGTTTGAAAACTATTTACAGTATTAGTATGCAAATTATATACTACACATTAAATGCGAATCTTGCAGCAGAACACTATGACAGGCACTCTCACTATTTGAACCATGGTAGTCCAGTTAAAAAAGCAACACAACAAGAAAACACAGCTGGATGTAATTGTATCCAAATGCATACTTATTATGTTAATAGGGGCATGTGAATATAATTAAATGTTGTCCAGCAAAGGTTTTCCCACAAAGATCTGAATAATTTTAGCAGAATGTTCAAATAATGTGAGCTTTTGTTTTCATTTTAATTGAAAGGATGTTTGATATTTATTCCTAAATAATGACAGATGAAATGTGGCATCACTAGAGAAACAATAAATCTCATAAGTATTCAGTATCTTCTTAATAGATTTTCTTTGACTGAGAAGCCAGCATGAGTTATGGCCCCAATTCCATTAGGTACTTCCAATGATATACGCTCAGTCAGGTTAGAAGAACAGTATTATATATGCTAATCATCTATGTCCTAAACTGCTACTGTTACCGCATGTTGTCAGGGTACCGGTATGTCCTTTCGTTGTCTTCTCTTTTGCCCTGAAACTTCCTGGGCTGTCCCTGCGTGTACCTGCCTGCCACTGCTTTCCCATTGCCTCCCACTCAGCTGCACCCCAGGGCTGTCTGCCTTAGCCAGTTGGTGCCCCGCTGAAGTAGGCCAACGTCATCATAGATCTGTTCATACCAACTGAATGCTGGTGGACTCGAAGTCTTTCGGAACAAGAGTCTTCAGAAGAGTTTTAGGACATGCTTTTAACAAACCATAACTGAGAACCAAAAAACAGTTTGGGCCTTATGTAAGTGTGGCTACTGTTTGAATTGCTGCATTCAAAGGCTGTAGGTATTGTTAAAAGCCCATACCTTCTTCACTGCCAGCTTCTGGCATAATCCCAAAGTAGATGCATTGTTTTCTTTTTAACTTTATATCTCAGTATACTGCCCTGTGAAATTGCTTTCTGCCTTTAGATTCACTGTCATGCAGAGTTTCATATTTTTCAACCCACCTTTTTCTTTGAGCGTTGAAAGATATTCTGAGTTAAAAGACTCTGTGCCTGTCTTTTCACAGGCACAAAGTGTGCCTTCCCAAATCTAGTTCAATAGACATGTAAGATGAAATCTCAAGGATATTTTATCAGTGCCTATTTTTATTCTTGGTAAGGAAGGAAGAACAGTTTATGCTGCAAATGTAATATGGTCAAAGTATACATTAATGTGTTACTTTAAAGTAAAAGCTTATATGTAAATTTAAAGAACATAGTGGCTAAAAATCGACCTGTTATTTTTTTTTTTTGTATCATTGGCCTGTTTAATGAAATATATTAGTTTCTTGACTCTACCTGTCTAAGAAAGGCTTAAAATTTTTTCTGTGAAGTTATACAGTCACAGATATCAAGGGTTTTACACTGCATTAAGGAGACATGGCTTGTATCATTAGCATGATAATCAGTCCAGTTGGATTGCCTAGCAAGTAAATTCTAAGCGTAGCTCCTCCCTCTAAAGAAAATCTACTCCCACTAAAGATCTACTCCCACTAGAGAGTAGAATTCCTACTTCCAGCTCTCAGTGGGAAATCGACTCCCACTAAAATCAATTGGTAAAAACTCACCTGATAGCCTAACACTTACTTTTAGTTGCTTGCGGCAACTGGTAAAGAACACTTTTCTACACAGAATTCATACTTACAGAGAGGTGTGAGAATTAGAAAACACTAGGGGATCTGTGTTCTTTAGGAAGCTATAGGATTGTGAGAATGAATCTTTGAAGGACAAATACGATGTGTTGGAGAGTCATTCTATTTAGATAGCCAGTCTTCTGTTGCAGCTGTTGAAGCCTAGTTTTCTTTTCTGAAGAAGCAAATTCCATTTCACTATTTTATTTTCCTCATTTTTTAAAAAAGGCCATCTTTAAGAAAGTGATCCAGAAGCAGAGGCTTTTGAAGGGAGCCTGGGGTTTACAGCTGAAGTGGGTATAGCACAGTTCTATTATTTTGTCTCATTAGGTCACCCATGCTTCTTAAAAACCCAGGCAGAAACATGTGACTTATTTCTGTTGTCTTGAGAGTTTATTTTATTTCGGATTCATGATGTCAGGAGCTCCAAGCACGTGGGCTTCAGTTACTCACCCCTGAATTACCAAATATTGCTGATAACAATTTAATTGAAACTAGACCACTAGGTGCTGCAAAGGCCTCTTATAGTAAGCATTTAGATATTTCTTCTTCTCTATACTTTACTCTAAGTACTTTCAGCAAGAAGATACACAGTAAAACATGTCATAACAATCATCACGAGGTCCAGCAAAACAGGCTGATTGATTAGTAAAAGAATGTTACGTACAATAAGCTACTGAGAATGGTACTTGAGATGCTTCCTTAGATGCTGTGTTATTTTGGATTTAGTATATCTTCTCCAGGAACTATTGCAGGAGGACATCAAGTTACTATATGCCTCTGGTTATCTGTTTTCTTACTTTTACAAACTGAAGAGGAGTATCTGAGTGAAAATCATTTGGAGTTCATTCTCAGATTTTACCCTTGTGCTTTCTTTTCTTTTTCTTTTAATAGCCTGGATGTGTAAACACTACTGAAGTGGATATAAAAAAGTCTTCAAGAATGAGAAATCCACATAAAACGAGAAAGGTAGCTAGTGCTATTATATAAAAAGCAGGAGGTGGGGGTAATTTACAGCGTGAAGTTCCATAGTTTCTTAAAATAATTTGTTCTTTCACTACAATGAACAAATACATGAACAAATTTTGTTGTTTCACAAGCTCTTAAATGACTTAGTATTAACAAATTTGCTAATAATAGTAAAGCGCTGTCACATAAGGAAGGCTTTAGAGAAATACATAGAGACTATGGAAATGTAACCCATTTTGCATGCCTTATGCATGTTGTTCAGTAGATTGAATAAAGCATGTTAAAATGTTTCTATCAGTAGTTAAGGAAAATAAATGAAAAATGCAATATAAACTTTAATAGCAGTACCTGTGCTGTCCTGAATGAAAAGGGTGTCTCCGGTTTATAGATATCCCCCAAATGGATGACCAGAAGCTGTGGAGGAAATAGGCTTTGTCTAAATTAGGATCCAGACATGAACTGTACAAGTTCTCTAAGGATTTAGAAATAAAATGGGACCAACACTTTCTATCAATCAAATCCTCTGTATCATAATAATGTAGATTAAGTCCAACTTTAAAGTATTCACTTTGATATATATTCTAGTGTCAACCTATGGAAAGAATCTGTTTTAAAAAGGAAATCGGATTTATATAAAGTTTTAGCTTAGTTTATTTAAAGTAGTGAAAACTCCAAATTATTAGAATTTATCAAGCACTAATCACAAATGTGGGAGTCATCCACATAATCCGTTGTAATAGCGTACCTTTAAAGGTACTGTTATTTCTTCCTTTCCTACCAGCCATTTCCACTTACTATGGTAGCTGCCTTTCAGTGTCAGTTCCCATATTGGCTATGCTGTTTATTTAAAGACAAAATAAAAGTAGATCCTGTGTTCTATTGCATTATGAAATTGGACCCTTTTGAGAGTCTTTATTTTACACCGTGGTATAGAAGAGCAAATTTAGCAATTTTATCTGAGTTCATGGTTTATTTACAATTTCTTTAGAAATAGATGATATGGGCTACCTTCCCGAGTACAGTGTACAAAAACTGAACAATTACTATTGGTATGTATGGAAAGAATTGTCTGAAAGCAGCTTTTTTCCTCATATATTTTGCATAGTCTGTCTATGGCTTACAAAACGACATCCGAAGTCACAGCCCTACCCACACACCAGTACCAGAGACTAAGCCACCCACGGAAGACGAACTGCAGCAAGAGGTTTGAAAAATAACTATGAGCATATACTTTTTATGCAAACTTTTTTAGGAAAGCAGGTATTAAGCTAAAATTATCAGGACTGGGAAGTATATTCAGAACAGATCTTTTAAATATTTAGTGAATCTTTTTCTCATTTCAGGCATTATGGATTTAGGTATGTAACTTCTATTAAAACTAATGAGACAAATACTGACACTTTTTGTATCTTGAATTAGACGGTTAAAGGCTTTAGAAATACTCTCGCTGGTGGGTTCTTTGTGTAATTAAGCCCATTAGCCCCTTTAGCAGTAGATAGCTCACTCATTCTTCCTTTCAATACTTCAGTTTGAGGTCTGGGGGTATGACTGGTTACCTCACCCATACATATGGTTGTATGTGTTCACACATTTACCTACCATTCATATTCCATTAATCTCTCCAGGGGTGTTAGAATTGGGAGGAGGTAAATGTCTGAAGAATTAGTAGCTTTAAAAATCTAAAAAAAAAAATACTAATTGGATTTCTTTTGATGAACCTGTAGGGAAGATGTTAGGTAGGCTCCTTTTTTGTCTCTGAAAAATGTTTTCTGTTTGACAGAAAATTCCGTTTACTTTAGAGTTATAATGCTGAAATGTTGTTATAACTAAGATATACCTCTCTTCTGTGCCTTAGGATAAATAAAGGTTAAATTACAGCCCTAATAAAAAAGTTATGGAAACACAGTTAAGCAATGAATTACTCATAACACTCTGCTTTCCTTTCATGCAGATTAAGCACTGGCAAATGCAATTAGACAGACATCGATTAAAAATGTCAAAAGTTGCGGAGAGGTAAGTATATTGTCACATCTTTTGGTTTTTCAATTATACAGATAGCTATTGGGAAAATGTCAGTACAAAATAGCTGCAGAGAAAGAGAGACAAGGGAGCTCAAGTGTCACAGAAATAATACTTTAAGTGTGAGCTATGAAGTTCTTCTATCGGTAAGAGAAGACCCAGATATTCCTGGATATGTTCGCTGATACATTCAAGAGTCGCAGAAGGAACTTCTGATCAAGTGGTCATGAGTTTCACCTTACATTTACAAGGGGGCTAAACAGAAATATGTCTGGCATTACTGTTTTAGTATTTCAAAAGGGCAATCATTGATAGAACAAGGGAGGTGATTAGGAGAGCTGGCTAGGCGAGGAGCTCTGCCCTTGAACATGAAGTGCTTCTGAGCTTACTTCGGCTCAGGGGTTGTAACACTATTAGGACTCGGTCTCTAAATAAGACCAAAATGTGTAAGGAAGGGTCTAGATAACAAACAAAACACCCCTTAGAAAGACTAACAACAGCTTACAAAAGGAAGAGAAAAGGACTGTGGTATGTTACAGATGAAGAAGCACAAAGTTAAAGTGAAAACTGCAGAAAGGTAAGCTGCGTAACAGCTAGAAAAGGAAAAGAAACTAAACACAAATGGTTCTTCATCCCCTCATATATGTGTGCGTGCACATGTGTGTGCTTATAGATGTGTATGTATGCACTCACACAAAAGCACATATAAATATATATTTATAAAGAGAACAGGTTATGAATTTGTGTTTGCTGGACAGTAAGGATGGAATGCAGACTAAATATAAATAGGGATCAAAAAATGAATATTTATCCTCACTTCTCAGTAAAGCTAATGATGTTGATGATGAGGCAAAAAGAGAGATGGAAAGTGAGAATAAGGGCATGGGAGATGAAAATTACTAGAACACAAGCAAATTTTTAAGTGTGTTCAAGTCAGTCAGACCAGTTTATGAACACTGAAGACTGTGGAAAAAACTGATGTGATTTTTTAGTAGTGCCATTTGACTGGAAAATTATAAAAACATTAACTGTATTTAAAAAGGGGAAACATATCGACCCTACAGCCACAGGGCCAATGAATGTGACTTAAATAGCATGCAGTGTTTTAGAACAGATTTTAAAGGAAACGATAATTAAAACCGTAGGGATTTAAAACATGTCTCTTTATAAAAGCAAATGAGCATGAAAGGGGATGCTTGATTTAATTTGTTAGTGCCTTCAGGAGCCCTAAATATACTTTAATGAAAAGCTATTTAGAGGTATTAAAGAAGTTTGTAGTTTATTTTATTGCAGATTTTGATAAGAAAGATTTGAAATACCTCTCTTTGTTCACGGGGCCACAGGTTCAGAGACAATTGAAAGCACTCTTAAACTGAGATGAGCAAATCTATTTTAGCTTGAGCTTGTAGGTGACTTCTGAGTGTGTACATGACTGGTTACCATGGTTCATTTGATGCAAGGTAACTTGTTAGCCTTCGTAAGCTGATCAGGTTTCCTTGCTCCTTGACATGACAATGTTTGATGCTTTTGTTTTCCTAGTTTATTAGCTTATACAGAGCAGTATTTGGAATATGATCCTTTTCTTGTGCCCCCTGATCCCTCAAATCCATGGATATCAGATGACACTACTTTCTGGGAACTGGAGGCAAGGTATATAATTTTATTTCTTCTTTTGGGGTAAAGCGGTATTACTTAGGCTTTCCTTGAAATACGAAGATTTCAGATAGAGGTATATCTTTGTATATCAGTATCGTACTGAGGCAGGAAAGCAGTGAAGGAAATGCGTATTCCTTTTTCTTTCCAGCTTTACAGTTTTACAGTGTGGGAAGAGATATGGATTAATAAATCTATGTAAACTAACAAAAAAGACACCTTTTAAAATCTGGTAGCATTTCCCAGTTATAAGTCTTTAATCTTCTACATAAGTGCATGCATATTACCTTTGTGCTATGTAAGTACTGACAACCTGATTGCTCATCTCTGAACGCTGCACAGATATGAGTGACTTGGAAGATGGGAAATCTGTGGTTGAACTTCGGGGCTTAATCTGAGTTATAAACACAAAGTATTAGGATATTGAAGTATTGCTAATTGTGGGTTTTGGGTTTTTTCTTCTGTAGCAAAGAGCCAGGACAGCAGAGGGTAAAGCGATGGGGATTTGGCATGGATGAAGCTTTGAAAGACCCTGTGGGAAGAGAGCAGTTTCTTAAATTCCTGGAGTCAGAATTCAGTTCAGAAAATTTAAGGTAAATGTGAGAGACTTTATTTTTTAATAGCTTCTAAGATAGTTTTTTGTCTGGTACCATTGCTAGTTTTTGATGCTTGCAAAAATTTTGCTATGTCTTGTCCTTCAGAGTCTATTCTCAGATTGTTGCAGGCACCCTTGCTCAGTCTGAGAGAGATTGTTATAGTTAACAGAGGTTCACATGAAGCGTATTCTCCCAGTCATATCCAACTTTTGGTCAAAGTACTCTTGTAAAAGCTTTCTTCTCAACTGATTTTATTATACAGCTTTAAAATACTGACAAACTCAAAGCCTATTTGATATCTTTTATTCAGTATTCAGTATATTAGTTCAGTAATATGAGGACAGGAAAATTAGACAATTTGTTACAAAATAAGGAATTCAGAAGAAAAAAATCACAGATTCTCACTCTTGGTCAGGCTCTTATGGATCTCTCATCCATTTGAAAATCTCCGCCATGATGATTAAAAAATTTGCTACTGATGTGGATCGCACACAATAGAAATACTGTAATATCTACCTCTCAAATTCCTCACTAATTGTGTAATGAAAAGGTGCCAATGTGTATAAAGCTTACATCAGAAAATACGTATGAACATTCTTTTTAAGTGAGGAAGAAATATTACCTGATTTAAAAAATATATAGTTCATGGATTCACCAAATGGAAGTCTTCTCTGATAGCCTTCTCTGATGCAATGACTGGCTGGGTAGATGAGGGCAGGGCAGCGGATGTTGTCTACCTGGACTTCAGCGAGGCTTTTGGCCCTGTCTCCCGTCACATCCTCCTAGGTAAACTCAGGAAGTGGGGGTTGGATGAGCAGACAGTGAGGAGGACTGAGAACTGGCTGGAGGGCAGAGCTCAGAGGGTTGTGGTCAGTGGCGCAGAGTCTAGTTGGAGGCCTGTGGCTAGCGGTGTCCCCCAGGGGTCACTCCTGGCTCCAGTCTTGTTCAATGTGTTCATCGATGACCTGGCTGAAGGCAGAGAGCGCACCCTCAGCAAGTTTATGGTTGATACTAAACTGGGGGGAGTGGCTGACACACCAGAAGGCTGTGCTGCCATTCAGAGGGACCTGGAGAGGCTGGAGAGTTGAGCGGAGAGGAACCTCCTGAAGTTCCACAAAGGCAAGTGCAGGGTCCTGCCCCTAGGGAGGAATAACCAACTCCCTGCCCCAGTACAGGCTGGGGGCTGACCTGCTGGAAAGCAGCTCTGCAGAGAAGGACCTGGGAATGCTGGTGGGCAACAAGTTAAGCAGGAGGCAGCAGTGTGCCCTTGTGGCCAAGAAGGCCAATGGTATGCTGGGCTGCATGAGGAAGAGTGTGGCCAGCAGGTGGAGGGAGGTGATCCTGCCCCTCTCCTCAGCCCTGGGCACGCCGCATCTGGAGTACTGTGTCCACTTCGGGGCTCCCCACTACAAGAGAGACACGGCACTACTGGAGAGGGTCCAGCGGAGGGCTACAAAGGCGAGGAGGGGACTGGAGCATGTCTCCTCTGAAGAAAGGCAGAGAGAGCTGGGCCTGTGTAGCCTGGAGAAGAGAAGACTGAGAGGGGACCTGATCAACGTGTACAAGTATCTGAAGGGAGTGTGTCAGGAGGATGGGGCCAGGCTCTTCTCCATGGTGCCAAGTGACAGGACAAGAGGCAACGGGCACAAACTGAACCACAGGAGGTTCCATCTGAACATGAGGAAAAACTTCTTTCCTGTGAGGGTGACTGAGCCCTGGCACAGGTTGCCCAGAGAGGTGGTGGAGTCTCCTTCCCTGGAGATATTCAAAACCCGCCTGGACGTGATCCTGGGAAATAAGCTCTAGAGGACGCTGCTTGAGCAGGGCGGTTGGACTAGATGATCTCCAGAGGTCCCTTCCAACCTCAACCATTCTGTGATCTGTGATTCTGTGGTCTAATCGTATGTTTTGTTGTCGCTGTTCTAAGGAAGTCATACTACAGTTAGAGTCATTCTAGGGGTACTGATAACAACATTTCTATGGATCAGTCAGACTGTATGAAGCATAAAAGTATGTACAACCTAATTTTCCTCTTTTTTCCATCTTCTTGTCAGATGTAATCTAATCTATGACGTTTAGTATTGACCAACATCATAAAGAGTGTAAAATCCTGTTTGCGTGCATACTATAACTGAGAGAAATCCTGAACTCCTTTTCTTCTACGCCAGATCTCACTCCTAAGTTGTGCAGCATAGCCATGCATAGTAGAGTTATATTTATGTAGCATCTTACAAGAGGCATTCAGCATTTTAAGACCTTGATTCCTAAATGCTGAGTGACGGAACAGACTTCACTGGTGTTATCGAAGATTGTTAGCAGAGTAGCTACAGAAGGATTTCTCGGAGTTGCTGGCCATAATCTTGTTCAAAGGTGAACTTTGCATCACAAATGTATATTAGATACTCTAGACTTTATGATTTTTCTAGCTGACTTTTTTGCCTTTGCTCCCATGGATATACAGCCTGAGCTGTGTCTATATGTTGATAAATGACTTCAGCGGTGATAGGTATAGATTTTGTAGATTTGTTTTTCATTAAGAAATTCAAGTAACTGCTGAAATGACAGCTTTTTAATCAGAGTAATAAAAAAAAAGGAAAGGTAATTTTTTATTTACAAAACACCCTGGTAGTTCCTTATGCAGAGCAGCTGTTCAAACATGAACCTATTTAGTCTAGTGTATGCTGTGGTTTCTGTGCTTTTTCTGTGATTAATTTGTCTCTCTGCCAACTGGACTGTTACCCGCATAATCCCTAACTCTTTCTTCTAATCCTATTTACAACACTAACCACAGGCAGACTGCAAGTGACTGATCCAGAAAAATACCCTACAGAAATGTGTTGGGAGCTGATTCCTTGACATGCAATCTACTATTCTGTCTCTCTCTCTAGATTATTGTATTGGTATTAAAAAATACAATGTCTGAGCAACAGTGAATATAAATTTATGGGCTGTCCTGGGGAAGGATCAGATAGAAGAACAAACTCACACTGCAAGAGTTCTTTCTATGATGATTAACTGAAGGAAAGCTGTCTCACAAGCTCAGAATTATGTTCATGAATTCTCAAACTTTGGAGCAATGAATCTACAGTTAGGCTCACATAGTAAGGTCAGGTTAGAAAGCAAGAATTTGTAAAGCCTGTGATGCATGGAAGTCAAAGCATTATAGATCTCAGTGATAGGAACTGAAAGCTTTTTGGACATGTTGGGTTCAAATGTTTTTGTTAAATAAACCTTAAATTTGAAAGTCCACATATTTCTTTGCTCACCAGTTAACTGCACTGTGACAATTAGTTTTTTTGTTTTTTGTTTTTTTTGATTTAACAGCCACTTTGAGAAAAGGATTTATCTCCATCCACACCTTCCCATTGCAACAAAGTAACTTCAAGTCTGTATGTATCAGCTCTGGTCCTTTTGCAGGCCTAATCATGATAAAATTTACAGCAAGCACCATCAAACCAGTAGCATGGTAGAAAGTTGGGACCCTGAATTCAAGCTAACAAATGCCATACATAGGATACATGAGGGGACTGCAGACACTACTGAGAGATTCAGTATTAGTTAATTAGAAGTCTTATACCTCATGTTAATGAAAGAAATGCTGGAAATATAAAACAAGAGATAAAGCCCACCAGATACACCATTTCTATTCAAGTGTGATTATCTCATGTAGTTAATAGTCCCAGTATTCTTCTTCCATTGACTTGAACTGAGAGCATCTAAGCTGGCCAAGAACCTGATTCTTAGCGGATATGGAGCCTCTCTTAAGAAACAGAACAGGGATGAAGCCACTCGAGTCGTGAACTAGAACTAAGCACTATACAATGAACCCTGGAGTGCAACCAGGGTCCAACTCCCTTCTCTATCTCTCTGTACTCTCTTTCTCTGTCTGTAAATTGGTATTAATTGTATTTCATTCTCTCCAGGGTGTTGTGAAAGGTAGCAATTGCATAAAACATATCCTTCTGTTGGGAGAGGGAGCCGAGACAGCCCATCTTACTCTGAAGCATCCCTAGTGAGTCTCATCCTGCTTGACCATTTAGTAAAGACTTCTTGAAAAAGTCTAATAAGGTCTGTAAGCGTGGTAGTTTCATTACAGTATGACTGCAATTTGCTAACACCCAGGATGGATGCTGCATTCACCTAACATACACGCCATGACTTGTAATCTTTCATTACCATGCAGCTTTTCTGGAAGGGCCACTTTGTGCTCTGTTCACTACAAAAGGACAAATAGATAAAGCAGCACATGATTTGGATAACAGATTTTTAAAATTCCCACTGCCTATTACAAAAACAGTCACCAGTATTTAAAATTCACAAGACTTAAGTTTTAGCGTGATCTAGTACTACAGTGCTTGATCACAAAGCTCTCCAAGCACTCATAAAGGAATTTTCAGAGTAAGATAATGAAATGAATCGTACTGAAATGTGGCACCTGGAGACCTAATTTCTTTCATCTCTAGAAAATCCAAATTCTTCTCCATATCCTCCCTTTGTCTGCATGCTGCAGAATTCTTGGAAAAGCTAGTGTTCATATACTAACTGACTGTATGTTTATTCCCAAGTGGTTGTTTTGTAGGAGTTGCAGCCTTTGAAGATCTACGTGTTTTCAATCCTGCCTATCTGAAAGTCTGTCCAAGTCATTATGCAGTTTTGCAGTAGGTATGACCTGCAAGGCAGTGCTCAGGCTGCAAAAGCCTCCTACTTTAATGAGGGGAGGACTGATGACAAGGCATCTTGTGTGATGGACTTTTGCTGCTGGAACCTTTGCCCCTTCCATTGATCCTCATTTGTTAGCTTCCATAATGTGTGGGAAAGTTTAGGAAAACGGGGCTTTGAGTTATGGTTGTCTGGGAAAAATAAGAGAGGGACTGAGAAGGTAGCTAGATTGGAGACATTTTCTCTGGATGAAGTTTCTGTGACCAACCCACTGCAAGCTGAGATTCTGTGAGGTGTTTAATTTGGACTTATAAACGAGTTGCTGTAAAAATGTTCCACAGTGGAGACACAAGCTTCAAATTACGTCCCGTAGAACAAATAAATAAAAAACCCACATTCACTGCTAAAAATTTGCAGTGTTGCCTACAAAACATTTCAATCATAGTGCTTAGTATTATGTTTAGCTTACTGGCTCAAGTTATTCATTTCATTACACCATAACAGAGCTTTAGTTAGAGGAGAGGGAGAATGGTAAGAAGACATTAAGTTTTCTTTTTAATCCAGCCTGTTTCACTTTTTTTGCTTCCTACTCTTTATCATTGATCATCACTCCTGATGATTTTAAATGCAAGACATTTCTGTCTTCACTGATGGAGGAGAAAGGAGTTCTGCATGTTACAAAGTATGAAGAACAATTAACTGTACTTCATTCTGTTGCAAGCCTGAACAGAAGCATTGGTAATGACTCTCTCACACTGTATGCACACTGGTAATTTTTATCCCTCACACTGTTGATTATCAGCCCCAGATTTTGCTTGCTAATAACTTGGACAAAGTTTAATTCTTGAGGCTGAAATTGCCCATGTGTTATTTCTGCTTCGGACTTAAGCTGAAGGTTAAACTTCCAGTCCTAGAAATATAGCCATTTCTGCAGATCAGATCAGAAAGAACTAGCTATAAGATTTAATAGTTTTCTCTGCCATTTTCTTGAAGACTTTTAGCACTGTGTCTTGAAGCCTGAAGTTGTATTTGGCAAGAAGGTGGACTCTAGGAGTCCAAGAGTGGTCTTTCCTGCCCTCTAGAAAAATGTTAGCTGATTTTCTCCATGGTAGTTGTTATGGTCTATTGCTGAAAATGCAGATGGGTCTGTCCTCCTGTTGTATCACAGGCGCTGGGCACAAGGACCATGTAATCCCCACTTCATTTTCTCCACACTCTGCATAAAACCTCACACATTTGTGGAGCATCAACTGCAGCCGCTCTCTCATGCTGTGTTCCTATGTGCTAAATTTAACTGATTAGCTTGATCTGGGATCTGCTGATGCCTGCATTTGACATTTAGGTCAGTTAATGGGACAGAAGCTGTGTTGCAGCTGTGATATTTATCTGGCAAGGCCACCCTCACTTTGAAAGTAATCCAGCTGGAAGGCATAGTCCCCGGATGTCTTGTAACATGTGTCTTACCATGTCATATGACTGGATGTACGACCATCAGATGCTGTGCACTCTTACTCAGCTCTGCATCTGCCATTTGACCCAGCATGTGGCAGCCCAAACGCTGGGATGGGGGACGGCTGCCAGCTTTATGTGCAGCTGCTCAGGCCTCGTTCGGTGAGATGGCTCTGAGCACCCGCTGTGGAGTGTCTCCCGGGCAGATGCAAACTCCCTCGTCGGGAGAGAAGGACATTCATCCAAGGGCAGACAGACTGAGCAGTAGTCACTTCCAGTAACTAGCACTAAATCTAGTCCTGGAAATGCAGTTTGGTTCCCCTTCATCCCCTTACATCTGCTTATTGTGGCACATTATGTGCTGCTTTCTTCAGGAGTCTTCCCTTGCTCGGGTCACAACTAATGAGGCAGTGAGCTATAAAAAGGAAAAGGAGCTCTTTTCAATTTGAGGCCCTGCGTTGAAGTCTTGGAGACTCCATTTCAACTTCACTGTGCTCTTGGTTGCCATGCGATATTTGGAGAAGTTATTTTTGAAAATGCAAGAAGTGGCTGTCCTATTTTTAGCATTTCCTAACTTGTGCATATTTAACTTTAACTCTTCTGTGTGAGGAGGGCATACATTTTGTCTTGAAAGCTCAGTAAGTAGATTAAAATGTTAAAATGTGTGTTGGCTGTGAAGTAAGCTCCCTAGACATAACATACTGCAGAAATCAGCATTTTCTTCCTACTTTTAAAGAGGCTTCTGTATTTGAAGCCTCACAATTTCCGTAGGATTTTTGAATGCTAATGTTAGAAGAGTAAAATAAAATTAATCTATTGAAGAGCTTGTGTTCAGCCTATAAGAATGTGTCTATATAACCTTCCTATTTCATGATGGAAGCTACATATTTCCTCAGAGAAGTTCAGTTTATCTCCCATCTACTTCCCCATAATTGAGCGTAACCTACTACATGGAAACGGTTTACTTGCAAAAGAAAATAACATCCTAAGGCGTATTTATGGTCTTCCAGAAATATTGGCAGTGATATAATGGAGCAAAAAAGAATGTGACAACTTTGAGCTAGATCCTCAGGATATCTGCAGGGTGATAGAAAACGTATGTTTACAAATAATATCCTTCCTTCTCATTTTTCTGTTCCTTACCTGACTTCTATACACATGAGTAATCAGCCAGTCCCAGATGCATTTGAAGGGGTTGGCACTGCAGGATATACACTTTTAAATGCAAATATCAAAAGCTGCTTAAGGAAACCAAAGTAGGTTGCCCAAATTTGACAGCATAAACTGAATTAGAGTTTGAGCTGTGCAATTTTCAAACTTGAGTTATAAGCCCTCTGTTGTTGCTGCATTGCTATCAGATTCTCAAAATACGTCACCAGGCTCTGTGCAGATCAATGTTCATGTTGCAGTTCATAGAGATTAGTGAGGCTACCTCAGAATTTTTGAAACTGGAGTTCTTGTATTGGCACAGACTCCCTGTGTGACCTTGGAGAAAGGACTGTGCATTTATTAATGTATTTGCAAAACTAGGACAATATTACTTCTTTATCTCTTGGAGAATTTTAAGGAATCAATAGACAAAAAAGCTATTCTTAGGCACTATAGAAATTGAAGGGTGTAGAAATACCTGAAATAGTCATCTCATTTGAGTGAAGCTGACTGTAAAGGCTTGTAAGCGATGCAAAGATAATACACTGAATACTAAAATCCAAAGCCCCTGGAAAACAGGAATAGAGCATCTTTCCAGAAAAAGAGGAATGAAGTGAAGGCATAGGAGGAGCCTAGGAAAAGAGCAGAATCTCCATCCAGCTGTGTTACAAAAGAGTTTCAAAATAGGATTGTGAGGGAATAATTACTTCCCAGAAGGTAAATCATCTGATGTGAAGAACTGCTTATAAGACTAATGCTGTAAAGTTATGTAAAGTTGCTATGTTTTATTAACCTCTCAGGAGAGCTGTTGCAATAACTATACTAGAATTTGGACTGAAAGCAGTATCATTTTGTGTTCTTGGGGGACATGAGTTCAGTTCCCATCTTCCTCTCCCTACCCCATCCCTGTTTAACAAAGCTAAAGAGAGCTCAATTTGATCTCAAAGTGTAAGCGGTTGAACCACAATTTAAAGGTGTATCCAAATTATTTGGCAGCCTTGTAAAATCTGACTTCTATCACAGTTAATTCACTTCAAAGTTCAACTCATCTGATTCATAGGATCAGCTGTGCCAAAACAACACTGAAAAGTTGTGATAGTGCATATTGGTTATTTAGAACCATAAAAGTCAAAGCGTAGTGGAGCTCTTGGAGAAAAAAAGACTATTTGTAGTTTACACCGTGTCTAAGCGTAGGACTCCTAGCTGAATTTAGAATTGTTGTAGTGGAGCTCTTGGAGAAAAAAAAGACTATTTGTAGTTTACACTGTGTCTAAGCATAGGACTCCTAGCTGAATTTAGAATTGTGTTGAGCAAGCTGAAAGTTTGGTACTCCCATAACAGAGGTAACCATTCAGAGACCATAATAGCAAATGACAAGTGAATAGCTAAGCTTATTTAATGATCCTCCTCGAAACTGAGTGAGAAGTACTCCATAAACTAGCCTGCACTATGTGTGTCTGCCTGATGTTTGTTTGCTCTGCAGCAGAAGAGAGAGAGAACATAGGAACTTCCATTCAGCATTTCCGTAGTAAAAATGCATATGGAAATGCAGTGCTAAAGAAAGAAATGAAGTATCAGTGAGCAAAGGAAGTGCTTTTCCAGCATGAATTGTGGAGTAATAGTCACAAAATTACAGCTACAGTTATATAGTTGATAGTTCAACAGGATTCAGAGAGATTTCTGTAAATAACAAGAGCATAAATTCTAATTAGCTTTTGAAGGAATATCAAAAAGCAATAGGTTTATAAGCAATACAAGCTGTTGTGATTCAGGTGAAAGGAAATCTCAGTTTAATTCTGGTTGACTAGAAACCTTCTTGTAAGTAAGTTGCCCATACATAGGAAATGAAGGATTTCGCACTCATCTTGTGAAGACTCTTGTAATGATTGCTATTTAAGATAGATGAATTACCTGAGACAGTATGCCAGAATTGTGATCCCAACATAAAATTATGGGTTTTGCTCATTTTAGCATATTTGCTAACCCTCAGTTACTTTATCTTTTTAAGAGCAAAGGACTGCTTCGTTAATAATGAAACTGAATTGGAATTCAAGATGCTGTATTGTGCCATAGGTTCTGGTTAGCGGTAGAAGACCTGAAGAAGAGGCCTATTCGTGAAGTTCCTGCTCGTGTCCAAGAAATCTGGCAAGAATTTCTTGCTCCGGGTGCACCCAGTGCCATCAATCTAGATTCAAAAAGTTATGACAAAACGACACAGAACGTGAAGGACCCTGGAAGATACACATTTGAAGATGCTCAGGTCAGTTGGAAATCTTCTTTAGAGGCATCCGAAATAGAATATTGGCTAGTGGAATGTAAACACTGGGGTAAGATATATTGGGCATGAAGTGATAATGATCTGTTTCCTAAAATGCAATTTCAGCAATGCAAATAGGCAATATTTCTTTCTTTCATGAGGCCTGTGGATTACTAAGGCTCTTCATGAAACTTCTCTGCTCAGTACAGAGGCTTCAGTTTGGCTTCAAATAGAGCCAAGTGCAAAACGCAGTAAAAATATTTTTTTTGTGTTCCTGTTTTCTTAATCCTTTTGCATTAAGAAAAAAGCTTAACCTAGTTGCATTAAGAAAAAAGCTTCCACCTCCACATGAATTTCTGGTTCTCAGGAACTGCCTCTGAAGGACTTTCCCTGATTCAGGCTCAATATCTGTTCTCTCAATCCATGTTGAAAACTGTTGTTATCATTTACAGGAGTCATAGGTTCTCACCATGGACAAAATATGACTCATGTGAGAAATAACAATTTTTAGAGGCTGGTGCTAAAGTGCCATGTTCCATGGACGTTGTACTTTTTAAACCTTGGTAAAGTACTATATATAGAACATCAGGCAAGGATTCTAAGAGTACTTTTCCATGAGAAGTATTACAGGAGTAAAGAACTGCTGGAGTCATATCTTGAATACTATAATAAAAAGATTTAGTCAGAGCTAGGGCTGTAGAATTTTTTGAGTTTGGAAGCAAAAGTTAAAAAATAAAAGGGAAAAATAAAATTCTTAGTTTTCCTTAGAAGAAAAAAGAAAAACAAGTACTTCTGTATTAAATGGGACATTTATATGACTTGTAACTAAATATTTCATCTTTGGAGTCTTCAGGGAAAAGCAATAGAAAGAACTGGGTCCACAGTAAAAGCAGTAGAATGAGTACCATCCTCCTCACTTTTTATCAGCAGACCAGTGATGAAAATTTAATTATTAATGCAAAATGAAATTGTGTCAAAAGGAGAGATTGAAATCATGTCCCTGCAGAATTTTCTACAGCTTGATTATTAGGACATCATCTCGGGGGCCAGGAAGTGCCAGCTTCAAATCCCATGAAGCAGAGAATGGAACTGAATCTGAGCCTCTTGCCTTTTGGGAAAGTGCCTCCACCCTAGATAGGAGGGACAATATTTCCACCACCTTAGAAAGAAAAGAAAAAGAAAATTCCTGTGCTCTCCTTTTGCTGTTATGAGAACAGCAAAATATGATGCAGCAATAAAGTTTTCATGACACACTATGTCATACATGCTGTTTTGTAGTACTCTGCATGAAGCCAAATATGCATTTTTTTCTTGCATCAGCTGAGCTGCACCGGAGATTTAAGAATGCAGTGCATATCAAAGAAAGACATAAATTGCACAAATACTCTAGCAATATAAAAGCTGTAAAAGAAAACACATCTTTACAGTTGAGTTAGTAAAGGAAAATTAAATTCCTTGCCAGTATCCAGATTTTGTTTTGTAAAAACAGGTCTAAAATTTCAACACCGTTTTACTTCTAGATCCTCTTATGCAAGCAGGACTTTTTTTCTCCTGTCAGACCTCTGCTTATTTGATTCAGTACAATTTCAACCTGGAAGCCTCCATTTCTCAGAGAAAAGAGAATAGACCGTACCTGCCATGTTCTGAATCAGATGCTTTAGGATTTTTACATTGTGGCAGGGTTTCGTTGGTAGCAGAGCCCTACCTTTCAAGCAGGCTCTTCCTGGTCTGCCAGTCTGGAAAGGGACAGCTTATAAAACATTTTTACAGTCAACAGATCACTTAATTTTGCTTTAAAATGCTTTGAAAAGCTTTTTTTTTTGGGGGGGGGGGGGTTGATAGGTTGCATCACAGAACTCCATTTCAAATGAGAGTGATACATAAGTAAAAATAGAATTTTTACTAACTCGCATTCAGCTTCAACTCCTGACTTGTTCTGCATTAACATTTCTAATACATTGCAGCTTAATTTGTTCTCACTTTTACAGGGTTTTTTTTTTCTTCACAGATACAGCATCTCAGTAGCCAACACCATTGATAGGAACAGAATCCTTTTTGCTCTGTCTTGGCTGAGTGAAATTAAAGCTCCCCAGCTTCAGTTCCATATATTGAACCAGAATTTCTCTGTTTAGTTTAGAAAGTACAGTGCAGTGCACTTACAAAACCTGCAGAATGATTCTAATATAACAATGATTAAAAATCAGCTTTACTTTTATTTTGCCATAATTTTCATCAAAGGTGCTTTTTTTAATTCACTAATCTTATGCAGTAGCAAGTTTAGAAACAGTGTTTACTTCAAAATTTAACTGTTGTTTCAGGGTTGCTGTGCTATAAGTTTCTTATGCTAGTCAAAAGGAAAACACAAAAAACAAAATTCAGTGGAATTTGTAAATATTTTTATGGGAGCATTTCCTGTTCAGATGATTGTTTTTTCTATGAATTCCTCTTCTGCTATTATAGCTAGAACCAGAATTATAAATCATAAACACCCTACATTATAGATTTTTAGTTTCTTGAATATTGCAGAGATGAGAGTGTTCCAAAAAGAAAAGCTCTATAACCTGCCTAAGTCATTAGTTTTCTGGATCAGGGTTTACAAATTTTGTGCTTCTGAAGAATAAATATCTTGAGAATTAGATTAGCATGGAACTGTTCTTCAATTTGCATATGTATTTTCCTTTTTATATTGTCAGCTGGATAGAAGAATAAACATCTGTCACATAATGTTTTCAAGAGTAGCCAGGGCACATCCTCCTTAACTTAAGCACTTCTCTGCAGTGCTAAATTAGAAACTTAGGACCTTTCTCCAGCTTATGAAGTAAGAAAAGCATCTCCAGAAAATAATTCAGAAAATCTAATGCAGAAGGAAGGATCCAGGGTTCCTGATTTAGTCTGTTAAGTAAACTGACTAATCTAAGGGAGTTTTGAAGCAGAGCTTCAAGTTAGAAGTGCTTCAATTACAAGAACTCTGTTGTAAATTCTTAGAAAATAATTCTAGAGTTAAAATAAGGGCTATAAATTAAAGAAAGATGTGCTGTGCTCTTTGTACACAACAAATAGGTGGAATTTCTGCTTTAAGAATAGAAAGCAGCTCAGCCTTAGCAGCTGAACAGCAAGCTGGTATCCGATAAGACTTCCTATTATCCATTCGAAATAGTGCTAGCTGGTGTAAGTTACACACTTGAAAATACGTGACTGCACCCCATTTTCAGTATGTCTTCTTTTATGAGAATAATACCGTCTTCTTTCCCTTTCAGGAGCACATTTACAAACTGATGAAAAGTGATTCTTATCCTCGTTTTATACGATCCAGTGCCTACCAGGAGCTGCTACAGGCCAAGAAAAAGGTATTGGTCCATCTTGCCTTTGTCTTGCCACTGTGCAAAGCGGTGGTTATGTTTGCAACAATACTCAGTCTTCTCTCCCCTGTGCCAGTGCAACTGGATATCTGGTAGGTGACCAGCTTGGCGTGTTTGGAGGGTCACATACACACAGGAGTTCAATATACATATACGTGTATATATCCTGCATGCGGGCATGTTTTAATGAGTTAATCTAGCAAAACTTATTTTTATTTTTACATCCCATATTGTACTGTTTTCTCTGTTATGAAGCACCTTAAATTGAAAAGTGCTTTACAAATACATTAAAAAATAAAATAAAATCCCAGAAGAATAGTCTTTTTGGAAGTTTGCGTATGTAATAATTGTTGTTCTCGTTATTTCCACTTACGAAAACTACAGAATGTGTTTAGAAGCAATCTCATTCATATGAATAACTTCTATTTTCAACTGTAAAAATAGGGCTTACTTCCATGTCTTTCCCTATTACTACATGAATAGTCTTTTTGATTAGTCTAGGAATCTAATTTGAAAGAGAGATCACATCACACTTCTGCAAACAAACGCTCATGTCTTGGTATGTAATATTTACTTTAAAAGTCCAGTCACGGGAGGACTTCTGAATAGACAAAGTCCAGATTATGTGGAGCGGCTTGTACAATGTAGATTTCTATAATGAAAAATTATTCTATTAGTGGGCTCTAAATAGTGATCTCCTAGAATCAGTTTGGAGCTCTGTGCCTGCAAAATCCGGGCCCTGATTATTGCCGGAATAGGGTAGTTTGTAACACCATAGCATTCTGTTGTTTGTAATGACAACCTAAAATTTTGTGAAAGTACTGTGTGATTTTGTTTTTTGTTCAAACATTGATTTCTGAAGATCCAATATAGAGAGAGATGTTGAAAATGCCAGAAAGCTACAACTGTCCGTGTGAAGTCCTTAAGTTTGTGAATGTCAGTTCATTAACACAAGATGTGCACTTCATTATTTCTTTTTATTTTCAGTTTTTCTTTTAAATCAATCAATCCACATGAAAAATGATTTTTGTCAAATACAATACCCGTTTTGCCCATCCACTGTTTAACAAAGTCCCATTACAGCTTCATACCTATGTTTGCTTCCTGATTTATACAAACTTTGTTTTGCAGTCCATTATTTCATCATTCCTTCTTTTCTACTCCATTTTTTCTCGCTTTTCTTTTTCCCCCCTTTTTTCTTTTTCTTTCTTTTTTATTTTAAATTTAAGTTGGAAAACACACTGGATCGTCGAACATCTTTTGAGAAATTCACACGCAATGTGGTAAGTTTGTTGCCTTGGAAGACTAGTAAACCTGATGGAACATCCTTTCCCCCCGCCCACACCAATCCCTCCTTTCCCTTTTTGCTTCTCTAACATGACAGTTAAAATTGTCTTTATACCAGTTTGTGACTTTACCTAGGAATGACAGTTTTATAATATGCTTTCATTACAACCCCTTCTCCCTAGGGCCTTTCCCACTGACCTCAGTAGTCACACATGGAGGAATGGGCCTTTGGGAGCCATGCTTTTTGCATTAAGAAGCATGGAATGATTCACTCTCCATTTTTTTAAATTGTAGTAAAGAAATTGTGAAAACCTGCTTGATGTTGTTCCTTTTTCTGGTGCCTCCCAAAATATTGAGTTTGATACAATTTGAATACACTGGCTTTCCTTCCTGTCTCCTTTTTATTTTATTGGAAAAGTTTGTCCCATTTTTATAATTGGGCATAGTGAAAAATAAACTATAGTAATACCCCCATCTTCCTTAAATGTCTAGCACAGCATCTTTAGGACCAAACAATTCATGCTGATGATGCACAAGGGTTTGATTGGCATTTCACTTTGATAAAAGACTACAAAAAACTGATTTTAAAAAATGTATTTTTCGGAGAGGTGTTTCACTGAGGTAAAAAAATGAGTGCTGGTAAATCTCCTGTGGGCATTTTCTTGCCCCCAGCTGAAAGATCTGCTGCTTTCCTGATGTGTGAGATTCTTTTTACTTATCCAATGTCTTGGGATTTTTTTTTAACATTGTGAAAGTTCAAACTAAAGCATTCAACACATTTATTTTTGTAGGGCAGAAACATCCCTATTTTCCCATGCCATAAAAACTGTACACCAACACTGAGGGCGAGCACTAACCTGTTATGAAAAGAGGTAGAAAGATCTTGGATTATACTCAAGTTTGTCTGCATTGTCTGTTGAATTGTGCAGTTGACGCTGCTGTACGTGCGTGTGTGTTTGTGGCTTTTTCTGTGACCTGGTTAGTGGAGCTGTGTGTGTTGAAATGAAAGTACAAGAGCTTTCAGCAAAGATCATGGTTTTTGTTTTTTTGGTTCCTAGGGAAGGAGAAGCAGTTCTCAGAAACTGCCTCCTGTGTAATGAGGCTCAAGAATTTTTCCTCAAGTATTTTAAAAACATATACTTTCCAGTAATTAAAAAAGAAACAAATGCAGTGAAAGAACAAAGTTTTGTGAGGCTGTGGGATTATCTCACATGTTAAAACAAAACTGCCGTTCTTTTGCTACCTTCTTATAGGTAAAGGCTTCCTGTAATATGCATTGAGTCCGCTGTTTGTAAATTCAGGAATGAATTTGGATTCAATGGGACAAACAAAGTCAGTAAAAGACACTAAAAAGTATATAAACAACCACAGAGGAAACTATCCCAATGTTTGAAACAAAAACCCCTATTTTTTGCATGGTGGTGTTGCCATAGCATGTTGCAGTGTGATTTGTGTGTTATCTAAACAGGTTGATCTATAAAACAACATTATATATGATAATCCTACTTTCTTCCATGGAGGCGTTTAATAGGAAGTTCCATATTAATAACCAGGCCATATGAATAAAAGAAAATGTAGAGAGCAAGTAGTACCTCTCGGACCTCTGAGAGCCAGGCCTTTTTCCGGGCAGAGTGACTGGCAAGCTGTAATACTTAGGTTATCCATTGGAGTTTAAAGAGCCAGGTCAAGGCAAAAGGTCAAGAATGGGCTACGGTAAAGAGCTTATAAATGAGTGGTTATAAGGGGAGAAATACCAGGCTGAAGAAAGATATGAGGAGAATAAAAAAAGGGGTTGGGGGGCAGAAAGCGGAGGAAGTCCGGGAGGCACTAGAATTAGTCTCCCATAATCTCTCTGAGGACAGTGTTACGGGTAAGCCAGCAGTTCTGCATATAAATACTCGAGCGTTAGCGTTACGCCCTGCAGGCATGCCCTGCTCAGCCCGCTAATCTCAGGGTGTAAGTACCAGAACAGCAGGTGGCTGGTGATGCAAGGAAGGCCCAATAAGCAAGCTGTGAGCTAGAAATGAGAACAAGGGTTTCTGGGTTTGAAGCACTGGTACTTCTTCAGTAGAAGAGGGCACTTGGTTTTTCACTGAGCAAGCTATAAAATAATAAATGTGGTTTTGCTTTTGCTCAAACTGCTACCTGAGAATCCGGGTGGAGTCTGTCAAGTTGGGTCAGCTCTGAAAGTGGAAAATGTCACTGCTAGACCTATTCTCTATTAGATCAGTAGCTCTGAGGCTTGCAAATTTATATAGAGTGTCAGGCTTCTCAAGCACAAACCCTTTCTCTGAGAGGACAAATTCACATCCCCCAGTACCCCAAGATCCTTGCCACCAGGCATTTGCATTCTTCCATTCTTGTTCTCAATTTCAATTTGTTTATAATGTATAATGCCTTAGTACGGTGGTTCCAAGCAGCAGGGCTGGCGGGGATGTTTCTCAGACTATCCTAGAGCATAGGTATTAACTCGTTCAACTGTGAAGTGAGAGACTGTGGTATAGATCTGTTCCTCTGATTACTGCAGAGAATAGGTCTGAAACAGGTCTCTGACAACCTGGAAAAATGCTGTCGTCTCCGAATGATTGAGTAAGAAGAAAATTATATATCCTCTTCTCCTCTGACGGTTTAGTAAATTTAGACTCATTTCCTTTATTTTTCTGTCTCTTATATCAAAGTGGTTTTGTACTAAAATAAAGCGGACCTCCGATTTTCCATCTAAAGTGTCTGAGAAACCAGAAAGCTTGGCTGTTTGTGGGGACCGAACCTGAGAGGACGACCTTGTAATTCATAATCTGACTTGTTAAGCTGGAGACTATAAGAGTTTCCTGAATCTTTTGTTAGACAAATCAGCGGTAGTTGAAAGTGGGTTATACTTGCTTCGGAAAGCATTTGCTAAACTAGAAAGTTACTTTGCAGGAGCACTCCCTCTATACTATTCCCTGAACTAAATAGAAATCACCTGATGTAATGAATCATTTTTCTAGCTTGGCGAGGAAAAAATGAAAGGGGAGCTACATATACTAGAAACTAAGTTCAGCTCTGTGTTTCTTTCACGCTGGAGAGTTTTCTTTCCAGAAAATTTTCAATAATTCAGTGCACTTGATGAAAGCCCTAAATGCACAGCTAAAAGCATCAGATATTTGGCTTGCTCTATAAATTTTACAGTGCAAAACTGCTAACGCTTTTGGCACTCTGCAGTAGACAATAATGTTATAAACACATCTGCATTCATGTACAATATGGGTATAGTAATAAACTGGTATTTGCTATCTGTAATATTTGTTACTGAACACTTTATAGTTTGGCTGTGAGTAGCAAACATGGCTATTTGTGGTTTGCCTCATTTATTCAGAATCCCAGGTCATGGGTGAAAACACAGGGCACGCACACTTCAGCGCTGCTGGGATGATGACATTGGCTAAGTGCTTTGCTTTGGTATAACACCTGCAAATAAAATTGTCACAGCTCGGCGTCAGCTGCACACAGAGCGGGGGCACTCTGTGCTCCCTGCTCAGCCCCTGGGGTTTCTGCTTTGGAATAACTCAGGTTTAGTCAGCTGCAACTCCCCGAGTAGGTGAGTAGGGAAGACTACTCGTCTAAGTCAGGGAGCAGGGAAAATCTTGGTTCCATCCACTACTCATTGCTTGCCATAGTAACAGAGAGGGGCAAGTAGGTGTTTTTTAATGACAATGAAAAATTCTTCTCAGGAATTTCCATGAAAAAAATTCTCAGTAAAGAAAAAATAAAAATCAGGAAACTTGCTCTACCTCAAATGATAAAATTTACACTACGGGAAAAGAAAAAGAAAAGGTGCACTGATAACTTTGCCAGGAACTAGGAGGTCTTTAAGGAAGAATTTATTTTTAATTTCTCATACGCGTTTAGGATCTGTGAAAGTGGCAGACTGACAATCCGAGCAAGATGCCTTCTAGGACTCTGGCCTGGTGCTTAGCTGTGATCAGCACGCTGGAAACCTAAACTGAAGGGCTCTCTTTTACAGCGTAGTAGGCTAATTGCATTTCCACTCCACACCAGTTCTCTTGTCTCACCGAGAACCAAGTTAGCGGAGCAAGGAGGTGCAGTCTCCCTCGTCAGAGCCGCCCAGTGTGGCAGATACTCCAGCGTCATCACATGGTGGGGTCACAGCTTCAGAAGCCACCCTCAGCATTAGCGTGCCTAATTGCAGAGAAAGCAAAGACCTGTGCTCGTTGCAAGTTTGTGATGTTTTATAGACGTACAGCCACTACAGAACAGACCAAACTCGGTCTGTGTATTAAACCAGACAGCCATCATATAATAATTATCTTCACTCTTTGCCTCATAAACAAGACCCCATTTAATAACTCTGAGTTTAAAAACTTATCTTCCATTACTTATACCCTTCCCAGCTGTCTTCTCTCACCTAGCAGTAAAAAATAACTTACCAGTGTCCTTTGATGTTTTCCCCTCCAAACCAGTAATATTAGATGATTTCATGCATGAGATGAGAAATGTCAAGGCCACTGAACACAGCACATTTTCACAGTGCTCAGTACAATGTCACTAAACCTGACAGCAAATTATGGCCTAGAGGTGGAACTTAGCTTCCTCACTTCTTACTAGTGGGGATGGACTTTCTGCATGCTTAAATTGATGTCATCTCTTGCCATATTAAAATCTGTCCCTTTATTAAGAAACAATGTAGATAATATATTAATTTCATCTGTTAGTTTTGAAATCTTTGCATATGAACAGATATAGCTTGTTATGTACATAAGAACTCTACTGTTTCAGGCCAGAAGTCCATCTAGCCCTGAAGTCCAAACAAGGGCTCTATTTTTCTCCAGCATAGCATGAATAACCCTTAATGCAATATCACCTGTGCAATCTCATGTTCTGCACAGAGTCATGGAAGATTTCCTAATTAGAACTTTGAAATTTGCTTACAGTTATTCCTGAAAGTTTGCACTTAAAAAAAAGCTATTCAAAAAAATGCGATAATTCTTGTTTGAAATATACAAAATAATAATAATAACAATAATGATGGTAATAATAGCAATAATAACAGTAGAAATGCATGTTTTTCCCTTTTCCAGAAAAAACCTATTAATGTTTGACTAAAAAGAACTGATGAAATAATTGAAAATTTAAAAATGGCATTTTCCATATTTTGGAAAAAAAGAAAAATCCAGTTTTCTAGCTTTCCTTTGAGATACAAGCTGCATATATTTGTATATTTCTGAACTATCAAAAACCCTCTAAATTATCTAAATGGAACATTTTGATGACTTGAAGTGACTTTGAATTTTTTGATATTCTGATATTCATTCTTCTGATATTCTGATATTTCATTATTTATTTATTTATTTATTGTATATTTGTATATTTCTGAACTATCAAAAACCCTCTAAATTATCTAAATGGAACATTTTGATGACTTGAAGTGACTTTGAATTTTTTGATATTCTGATATTCATTCTTCTGATATTCTGATATTTCATTATTTATTTATTTATTTATTCAACAAGAAGTAGAACTGAAGAGAAGCACTCAAAGAGCCTGCTACCAAACCGTTAGAGGCAACTGTTCCCTGGGGTCCCTGATCTGTGCCACTTCTATGGCAAGGGG